AGAGAGAGAGAGAGAGAGAGAGAAGGGAAAAAATCCTCACCTTTTGGTTTCATCCACAATCTGTGTTTCTCCAAGTGCTAGATTAACAGCTACACTTTGCTTTCCTTCTGAGTTCAAAATCTGCAAATAGCAAGGAGAAAGAAGATATGTCACAATTTATGCATTCTATTTCATATACCTTATATTGTAAGTTCAGAGGTTTTCATAGTGGCAATTTTTTATTATCTAATTCATTCTTATTTGTGCAAGTTGGAGATATCAGAGTACTTATTTAAAAACTGACTCAATAGTTTTGGAATCATAGCAAAACTTAACTAAAAAGTTTTTTTTCAAAGAGATACAGTCTGGTTCATGATTTTTGTACTAGGAAGATCGGACTGGCTCTACCATACTAATACTTTTTCTGCCAATTTCTTAATTTCTATATGACCTTTCCATATGCAAATGGCCCAAACACTGAACCACCAATACTACTACTAATAAGGTCAAAGACCTGTGAATATTGCCCTTGAATTGCTGTGGCCACATGTCCCAAGCTTAAATAAGCCAGAGAGTTGCTAAATGTTGATTTAAATTAATTCTATGGATGCATGATTTTGTTGTGATTTTACTGTAAAAATAAAAATAAAGTATTTCATATGGTACATCTGCCCATTTTTCAGAAAAAAAAAAACTAAAAATTATGTTGATGGTTCCCTTAAGGTGACATATGCTCACATACTTCTGTGGAACTGATAGAAGCACTACATGGTTTATGATCTTAGAAAGAGACTGCAATTTTGAGGTTACCTTTATTATTATTATATTGTGATATAATAATTTGTCTCTCCTTGCATCAAGATGGCCCAGCAGTTGCATAAAAAACTATATTAAGCCCTTGGATCTGGCAGACGTGACCATCACATTATATAAAAATTTGGCCAAGTGGAAAAATTTAGCTGAGTGACAGGAATTTGTTGTAATGAGAATTTCAGCTGAAGGCCAGGGTGATGGGAATGACTCGCCACAAGCTCACAAACCTCTTGGAATGTGATCAGACCCATTGGCCCTTTAGGCATAACGGTAAAAGTGTGTGAATTTCCGTAGGCCATGACTGGAAGAGCGCCAGCTCCAGGGAGGACATCCAGATCCAAGGGATTAATAGGACAATGGTGGGCTTTGCCAGGCATAGAAAGGACAAAGCTAATCAAAATGTGATATGTATAGAAATTATAATTCAGTCATAAAAATTCCAAACTGGCTTCCTGCTAGAAATGCAAAGTACACATACCTCCTGTTTGGACCTGTTGTACTTCTCTGACATGAGGTCCACAACAGCACCACTGCCAATGAAAAGAGTGTTCCAGTTATGACCAGCCCCAGCAGTCGCCTTCTTTTCCTTCTGCTGCTTTTCCTTGAAACTCGATCCCTCTGCAGCACAAGGTAGGAGAAAGCCTTTTACTTACAAGCCAATCTCATACAATTATAGATAAGATATACTGGTGACCATACATGTAAATAATCTGCCATGTACTTATATCTAAACAATTTTAAGTGTACAGGTGGGTGATTTATGATTTTTAAGGAATATATGTTTTGGAGAAAATATGGATACTGGCATATAGTAATTTCTTTCAAATACATGAAAACATGAAGAAAGAAGGAAGATGAAGGTAAAAAAAAAAAGATGAAAAGAAACCAATGTTAACAAACTTTTTTTTACAAAAGAGATCATCTACCTGCTGCAGCTTCCTCTTCTTCTTTGACTATTGCAGGAAGGACATGTAATATTCTCCCCTTAAAGGTTGTTCCATCGAGCTCTGTCATGGCATTGACTGCATGCTCTGGAAACATAAAGGTGACCTGCGCAAAGCCCTTAGCTCTCCGTCTATACTTGCAAATAGGGAGATTGAGATCTGTTATTTGGCCTGCAAACAGAGAAGGAAAGGCTCATGAGCATATTGTAAGATCAACTGACCAGGTTAAGAAATAGCTTGTTCTTAGACATGATAACAGCAGTGAACTCTTCTGGATGTGCAATTTCTCACAGAACTTTACTCTGTGAATTTCAAGATCATTATCATTATCATTATCATAATTCTTGCTATTATTACTATTATTACAATTATCATTACTATTATTATTATTATCATCATTATTATCATTGCTATCATAATCATTATCATAATAAGTAATGAGTAATACTCATATTTCAAAGAGTTATCTAGAGAAATATTTCAGAAGAGAATGAAAATATGCAGTTTTTTTTTTTACTGAAATAATCTGTTGTCTCTCAAGGGAATTTTAGTGGCTAATACTTATTACTTTTAAAGTTGGCAGAGTCTATAACCACATGGCTTCACCTATAGCCCTTTATTTTCAGTCTAGGGGACTGCTCCTCCCCTCTCTCTCTCTCTCTCCATCCAAAATTCTGTGATCTATATTTGCCAAATCCTTTATGTAAGTTCTTCTTGTATTTTTCTGCATTTCACTCAATATGCCTTGAACAACCAAGAGCGTT